TGTATTCTTTCCATCTTCCTTTGATGTTTCCTGCATCATTCAATATTTTGCCCATCGAATCTTTCAATATTGCAACTCAAGGCGTAAATTTTATCCTCAGTTCTTGCACCTTGAGAAATGCCGAGCGTGTTCTTCCCTTTTGGTTTTCTAACTCCAAGTCTTTGCACATTTCATTATAGTAATTGGCTTTGTCTTCTCGAGCTGCTCTCTGAAATCTTCAGTTCAGCTCTTTTATCTTGTCATTGCTCCCATTTGCTTTAGCTACTCTCCACTCAAAGGCAAGTTTCAGAGTCTCTTCTGTCATCCATTTTGGTCTTCTCTTCTTTTCTCATCTTCTTAGTGACCTCTTGCTTTCTTCATGGATGATGTTCTTGATGTCATCGCAGCATAATTCTTCTGGTTTTCGGTCATTGGTCTTCAATGCATCAAATCTATTCTTTAGATGGTCTCTAAATTCAGAAGGGACATATTCAAGATCATATTTTGGCTCTCAAGGACTTGTTTTAATTGTCTTAACTTCAAGTTGAACTTGCATATGAGCAGTTGGATCCCTGCAGGTCTGTTCCACAATCAGCTCCTGGCCTGGCTTTGGCTGAAGATATTGAGCTTTTCCATTGCCTCTTGCCCCAGATGTAGTCAATCTGGGTCCTGTGTGTTCCAGCTGGTGAAGTCCACATGTACAGCCACTGTCTGTGTTGTTGAAAAAAGGTATTTACAAAGAATAAGTTGTTGGTCTTACAAAATTCTACCATGCGATTTCCAGCATTATTTCTGTCACCAAGGCCAAATTTTCCAACTACCAGTGATTCTTCTTTGTTTTCAACTTTTGCATTCCAGTCACCGGTGATAATTAATACATCCTGATTGCATGTTCGGTCAATTTCAGACTGCAGAAGTTGATAATCTTCAATTTCCTCATCTTTGGCTTTGGTGGTTGGTGAATAAATTTGAGTAATAGTCGTATTAACGGGTCTTCCTTGTAGTTGTATGGATATTATCCTATCACTGACAGCACTGTACTTCAGGACAGATCCTTTGTGATCATGAATGCCACGCCACTCCTCTTTGTCAGCTGCAGGGATTCAGGTGAGGGGAGGGAACCCAGGCCATGCCCCACAAGAGGCAAGGTGGGAAAGTGGGGGAAAGGGCAAAAAAAGGCCAGAGGGACCAGGACACAGTGAGAAGTCAGCCACAGGGATCCAGGTGAGGGGAGGGAACCCAGGCCATGCCCCAAAGCGGCAAGGCAGGAAAGCAGAGGAAAGGACAGAAAAAAGCCGGGGGTACTGGAACAGAGTGAGGAGTCAGCTGCAGGGATCCAGGTGAGGGGAGGGAACCCAGGCCATGCCCCACAAGCAGCAGGGCAGGAAAGCAGGGCAAAGGACAGAAAAAGGCCAGGGGAACTGAGACACAGTGAGGAGTTAGCCACAGGGATCCAGGTTAGGGGAGGGAACCCAGGCTACGCCCCACAAGTGGCAAGGTGGGAAAGCAGGCTGAAAGGACAGAAAAAAGCCAGAGGGACTGAGACAGAGCGAGGAGGCAGCAGTAGGGATCCAGGTAAGGGGAGGTTGGAGAGGTTTCAAACAGCTAATGGAGACAAACTTGGTTTGTCCTACTATGGTGACGTGTTGCTGTGAGTCTGTGTTGCTTGAGGCTGTGTTGCTGTGAGACGTGTTCCTTGAGGCTGTGCCACCAGTGTTCCAAACCCAGTGGGGTGCACATGGTGCACAGGTATCAGCGCAGCTTGCAGACTGAGACAGACTAGGAAGAAGGAAGAGGCCATGCACTTCTCAAAGAATTGGCCAGGGAAAACCTTATGAATAGCAGAGAAACATTGTCTAATACATTGTTGATGCGCAACTTTATGAATAGTCTGGAAACACTGTCCAATACAGAGGAGGAGGATGAGTCACTCAGGTTAGAAAGCTCTCAAAATAGGAAAAGAGCTACATCATCAGGGTAAAACCAGCCTTACTCATATGGATAAGGTAAAGCTTTCCAGACCTCCATTTGCTGACATAGCATCACTCAAATTGAAGAGAAACAGCTGCAAACATCCATTAACAATCGGAACATGGAATGTACAAAGTATGAATCTAGGAAAATTGGAAGTTGTAAAAAATGAAATGGAACACATAAAGATTGATATCCTAAGCATCAGTGAGCTGAAATGGACTGGTTTTGGCCATTTTGAGTCAGACAACCATCATGATCTACTATGCTGGGAATGACAAAGAATAATGTAGAATCTGCAAAACACCACATAATGTGGATGAACTTGGAGAACATTATGCTGAGTGAAATAAGTCAATCAAAGGAAAAATATTGTATTAGTTCATTATTGTAAAAAGTCAAGGAAAGGTTTATATATGGAAGGAAACTTCGTTGTTTACCGGGGGTGGGAGGGGAGGGGAGGAAACACTGCAAAAATGAGAATAAAAAAGAAACATAAAAAATAGAGAGAGTGAGTGAGCAATGCAAGAAGCATCAAAAGAAGATGGAAGCGACACACAGTCACTGTACCAAAAAAGAACTGGTCAACGTTCAACCATTTCAGAAGGTAGCATATGATCAATAATGGTACTGAAAGTAGATGTCCAAGCTGCACTGTAGGCAATTGTAAAAAGCAAAGCTCCAGGACTGAAGAAATACCAATTGAGATGTTTCAACAAATGGATGCAACACTGGAAGCGCTCACTCATCTATGCCAAGAAATTTGGAAAAGAGCTATTTGGCCAACCGACTGGAAGAGATTCATATTTTTGCCCATCCTGAAAAAAGGTGATCCAACATAATGCAGAAATTATTAAAAAAAATATCATTAATATCACATGAAAGTAAAGTTTTGCTGAAGATAATGCTAAAATGACTGCAGCGGTATATTGACAGGGAATTTCCAATAATTCAAGTTGGATTCAGAAGAGGATTTGTGACGAGGGTTATCATTCTTGATGCCAGATGGATATAGCTAAAAGCAGAGAATGCCAGAAAATCTGGATCCTAACAAATTACACCTCTATATAAAGAAAACAAAAATCTTCACAACTAGGCCAATAAGCAACATCATGATCAATGGAGAAAAGACTGAAGTTGTCAAGGATTTCATTTTACTTGGATCCACAATCAACATCCATGGAAGCAGCAGTCAAGAAATCAAATGATACACTGCATTAGGCAAATCTGGTTCAAAAGACTCTTCAAAAGTATTTAAAAAAAAAAAAAAGATGTCACCTTGAGTAATTCTAAGGTGTGCCTGACCCAAGCCATCACCTCATATGTATGCAAAAGCTGAACAATGAATAAAATGACCAAAGAAGTATTCATTACTTTGAATAATGATATTGGCAAAGAACACTGAATATACCATAAGCTGCCAAAGAACGAATAAATCTGTCTTGGAAGACATACAGCCAGAATACGCCTTTAAAGCAAAGATGGCAAGATTTCATCTCAAGTATTTTACACATCTTATCAGAAGGGACCAGTCCCTGGAGAAGGATATCATGTTTGGTAGAGAGTCAGTGAAAAGAGGGAGAACCTTAATGAGGTGAATTAACACAGTGGCTGTAACAATGGGCTCTAACAGAGCAACGATTGTAAGGATGGTGCAGTGTTTTGTTCTGTTACACAAAGGGTCACTATGAGTCGGAACCAACTCAATGGCACCTAATAACAACATGGTTTCAAGAGAGGAATGTTAGTAATAATAATAGTTACTTGAGCAAGACCAGAAACATCTAAAAAGACAAAGACAAAAAAAAAAAACTCACTGCCATCGAGTGGGATCCGACTCACAGTGACCCCTCCTTGGGTTTCCAAGGCAGTATCACTACAGAAGTACATTACCCAATCTTCCTTCCGAGGTGTGCCTGGTGGGTTTGAACCACCAGCCTTCTGGTTAGCAGTCAAGTGCCTTAGGCACTACACCACCAGAGCTAAAAAGACTACATCCTAGATCAAACAGCCTTTGAATTAGAACAAATGAAATATGGATATCAAGAAAATAAATACCTTTGCTTTATCTTCAACCCCACATCAGGTTACAAATCCTACACTGAAGCCTCTTCTGTAGGGCTTTTTCTAACTGTATATGCCATGATGAGCCTCTTTTTCTCATGGGAGTATGTGGTATCCCTACACACAAAGGTGTGTATACAAGAGTAAGGAAAAGTGTAGATGACTGCCTGGAACATCTCATATTATTGTCTTGTATCATAACACACTTTGTGTATATCTACTCTATGTCCTGGTAGCATAGTGCCTAAGGCACTTGACTGCTCACCAGAAGGCTGGCAGTTCAAACCCACCAGCCATTCCTCAGAAGGAAGGTTGGGCAATCCTACTTCCGTAGTGATACTGCCTCGGAAACCCAAGGAGGGGTTGCTATGAGTCGGGGCCAACTCGACGGCAAACAACAAAAACAACAACACTCTATGTCCCAAGTACATGCAGGAACTCTGTCTTTATAGCTTTCCTAAAGTACCTTGATCACTATGCTGTTTGTTTATTCATTCAATCTCTTATTCATTTATTCAATCATTACTTTTAGAGCACTTAGTATTATTTACCCCCTACAAAAAGTAATGTAAGTACTTTGTGGATAAGGGCACTTCTCTTATTCATCTTTCTTTTTTTTTTTTTCCCCCTAACTGTACCACAAAGATTAATGCAAAGTAAGAAAAATGTGTTTTGCTTTAAAAAAAAAAAAAGTACATGGATGCTAAGTAGTGTGAAAAAACCTGTCACTGTCAAGTCAAATCCAACTCAAAGCAAGCCTATAGGAGAGAGTAGAACTGTCCCATAGGGTTTCCAAGATTATAAATCTTTATAGAAGTAGATGCCACATCTTCCTCCCATGTAGAAGCTGATGGATTCAAACTGCTGACCTTTTGGTTAGCAGCCAAACACTTAACCACTGCTCCACTAGGGCTCCTAAGGGACCATTAAATGTTATACTTAGGGGACAGCACATAAGAAGCACGCAATATGCCATATGCCATTACCTCCATACACTCTTTGAGGTTGGTCAAATTCATAACCATTCCTGTAACAGGATCAATCTGAAGAATAAACAAAGGTAAGTATTACTACAACAGGATTTCCACATTTAAACATCTAGCAAGTTATTAAAGACTACACAATGTGGAGAGATTTTTGCCCACATTTGCCTTCATCCCTGTGACAGTCATAAATCTCAACATGGAAACCCCATGTGCTTCAGGCATTCTTCTCACTGTACTGCTCTTTTAACTGTCCACATACATAGCACATTAAAGACAACACTTTGGGAGAGGAATAGCCTGGAATGACAATAGCTCACCACACACACAAAGGCAATAAAGCAAAATAGATTGGAACAGAGTTTTCAACACAGATTACACCATGTTGGCTGAAAGAGGGTTCTGCAATCTGCAAAGACCACATAAATGTTTTTAGCACGTACCTCTCCATGTACTGTCACCACAACTATGGGAAAGAAAACAAAAATACCAAAGACCAGCATGACTTTCAACAGACTCTCAGCCAAAGACAGCTTAGCAACATAAATGAACTATTAGATCTCCTCCATTCAAAGCTATTATTTCCCCAAAAAACAGTTGTTCTTTCTGTTAAGATCTTTTTATCAATCAAAGCAAGACTTAACCAAGACAGAGCAGCTTAGTAATAGAAGCTAGGCCAGAAAGGGTATAAATTCGGCTTATGATATTGATTCCCTATTTGGTAAGGCATTCCTGTACAATTTCTGCCTATGAAAATAGAAAATGTTCAGGCAGGCTTCCAGCTATACAGAGTTGGTCCAATTGTAGACAATACCTTTCTGAGCAAGGAAAACTATTACCAGGCCTTCAATTCTTATCCTTTCACTCACATGAATATTTACAGTTTACAGTAATGCTTTGAGAATTAAGAAATGCTTGTATAAAGCATTTGAAAAATCTTGGTGATCAATGCTTTAAAAATTAATGTTGTTAAAAACCAAACTTACTGCCGTCAAGTTGTATCTGACTTATAGCGACCCCTCCTTGGGTTTCCAAGGCAGTATCACCACTGCCCCATCTTCCTTAAGAGGAGTGGCTGGTGGGTTTGAACCACCAGCCTTCTGGTTAGCAATCAAATGCTTTAGGCACTATGCCACCAGATGCCATCAAGTCAATTCCAATGCTTGGCAACCCCACGTATAAAGAGCAGAACTGCTCCACAGGGTTTTCAAGGCTGTGACCTTTTGGAAGCATATCACCAGGCCTGTCTTTGAGGCACCTCTGAGTGGGTTCAAACTTCCAACCTTTTGGCTAGCAGTCAAGGGCTTAACCGTCTGTGCCACCCATGGGCTCACCTAAAAATTAGTAACTTTTATTTATTTATTTTTCAGCTCCATACAAACATCAAGACTGAGAGATATCATAGACTAAATAATAGGCTGCACAGGAACTAAAAATTCTGACCTCTAACATCCTGTCTGATCTTTTACTGTATCACAACATATGCCGTTATACCCTATGGTATATGTAGCAGCTTTCTGAGGCATCAGCTACATCTCAAAGAACCAAATCTCTTATCCTGGCACAAATTAATTACTTTAGAAAACTGGTGTTAAAGTTTTAGACCCAGCCTACTTTTGTGCCTTACCACACACTCTTAGACAATATTCCCCTTTTATCAGTCATTATTTGCTCTAAGACTACAACCTAATTTTAACATTAGGCTTGCAAGATCCAATTAGATGGACACATGCTGCCAAAAGAATCTTATTATGCACTTTAAGGCCAAGAAAAAAATTAAACTACTGATTATTCTGGGCTATCTGCAACAGAACAGAAAATTGAGAGGTAAAATTTAAGATGCATTTAAACAAGGCATTTTGAGCTTCCATTTTCATTTTAAACTTCCATTTAATTTTTGATTAAACAATCAAAGCATTCCTGCTCTGTCTATAGTGTTTCTTAGTCATTAAGTCTCTATTTGCTGAATAATCTTTGAGTCTTATTTAAAAAGAGCCAAAATTTCATCATTTTTTTCTCTCACCTTTATAATTGTGCCCATGGCCATTTGGATTGTTGCACTTCCCAAACAGTTTCAAGTTTTCCTCATTACTCAGCGATTTGCTGACGAAAGAAAAAAGTCAATGTGATGCAAGTATTACACTCAGACTCCTCTATTTCTTACATTTACTATTTGTTCTGGCCTTTGAAAAGCGTGACAAGTTGTTATTACCTTAACTCACCAAATGAGGAGTCTGTATAATTCAGTGTAATTGCATTACTCCAACTATACTGTCAGCAATCAGGTTAACTAGCATAACCAAACCAAAACCAAAGCCACTGCCGTGGAGTTGTTTCTGACTATAGTGACCCCACACACACATACACCCCTTGGGTTTCCAAGGCTGTAATTCTTTACAGAAGTAGATTGCCTCATTTTCTTCCTACAGAGCTCCCAGTGAATATGAACCACTGACCTTCTGGCTATCAGCCAAATGTCTTACCAACTATGCCACCAGAGCTCCTTCAAATTAGCATAAGCAAACCTTAAATTCAATCCTCTTGTTCCACAACAGATTCCAACAAATGATGTGCCCTTCATGGCCCTTCCATTTTTTCATCAACAAACATTTACTGAGTCTCTACTATGTACTAGGTACATGGTGAATGAAAGAGGAGCATATAATGATAAATAAAAGATGATGCTTGTCCTTAAGTGGCTTAAAATCTCATTGTTGTTGTTGTTACGTGCCATCGAGTCAGACCCAACTCACAGCAACCCCTCCTTGGGTTTCTGAGGCGGTATCACTATGGAAGTAGATTGCCCAACCTTCCTTCCAAGGAGTGGTTGGTGGATGTGAACCACCCCCTTCTGGTTAGCAGTCAAGTGCCTTAGGCACTACGCTAGAGTCCAATTCCTGGCCTATAAGGTAACTAGGGGCCATAGTCTTGGGAATTTCACCAGTCTCTATCAGACTAGTTAGCCTGGTCTTTCTTATGATTTTGAGTTTTGTTCCACATTTTTCTCCTTTCCAGGATCTCCCACACTGATCCCTTTCTGAGTGTTTGACAGTGGTAGCTGGACACCATCTTGTTCTTCTGGTCTCCTGGTCATGGAGGCCAAAGTTCGCATGGTCCCCTAGTCCCTTGGAATAACTATTTCCACGCATCCTTGATTTTCTTCATTCTTCTTTGCTCCAGATGAGGAAACCTGCTGTTGTATCTTAGATGGCTGCTCACAAGCTTTAAGACTTCAGTTGCTACTCACCAATGTACAATGTAGAACAGCACTTTTGTGTAGCATGTTATGCCAAATAAGCTTGATGTCCATTACCATCATGTCACAAACCCACCGCAGGCTCAGCAATTCACTCCTTCAAGATGTTTGGCTATAGCTAAGAAGTTATCATAACTTTGCTGCTGCCCTTGTTGTTGTTGTTATGCGCTGTGGAGTCGGCCCTGACTCATAGCGACCCTCCTTGGGTTTCCGAGGCAGTATCACTATGGAAGTAGATCGCCCCATCTTCCTTCCGAGGAGTGGCTGGTGGGTTTGAACCGCCAGCCTCCTGGTTAGCAGTCTAGCGCCTTAGGCACTATGCGACCAGAGCTCCCATATATGGGCATTCTTATAACACATACAAGGAGCTCTGGTCGCATAGTGCCTAAGGCACTTGACTGCTAGTCAGAAGGCTGGCGGTTCAAACCCACCAGCCACTCCTCGGAAGGAAGATGGGGCGATCTACTTCCGTAGTAATACTGCCTCGGAAACCCAAGGAGGGGTCGCTATGAGTCAGGGCCAACTCCACAGCGCATAACAACAACAATAGCACATACAAATACGTATGTAGAAACATCATCTGCCAAACTTCTATATAGTCATGGATATATTATTCCCTTTTGCCTAGCCATACCTGATCATTCAGCCTGTCTACCTATGTATCCACATATAATGTTTGTTATTACTGGTAATGCAGTATTATATATGTAAAAGTGTTTTACCTTTGTTGTCTGCACCTCTGGTGCACCTCTCTCCATCTTCCTTTTCCTTAGTGTTATTGTGTCATTCACTCACTTTTGGTAGAGTGCCTTTCCCTTCACCTAAATCAGTATTTGTCTCTTACCTATCTAGCAATTTTCTCTCTCATCCCTGGTAACAAAGTTTCTTTTCATATGTAAACCTTTCCTTGCTTTTTACAATAGTGGACTCATACAATATTTGTCCTTTTGTGATTGACTTATTTCACTCAGCATAATAGTCCTCCAAGTTCATCCATGTTGTGAGGTGTTCCATGGATTCTTCATTATTCTTTAGTGTTGCATAGTATTCAATTATTGTAATGTTCTTCGCAGAGTTTGGTTATCCATACATCCTTTGATAACTACTTAGATTGTTTCCATCTCTTGCCTATTGTGAATAGTGTTGTGCTGAACATGGGTGTGCATATATCTATTCGTGTCCCAGTTCTCACTTCCTCAGGATATATACCTAGTAGTGGGATTGCTGGACCAAATGGTATTTTTCTTTCTTTTAAGGAAGCACCATACCACTTTCCACATTGATTGTATCATTTTACAAGTTTGTCTTTTTATTTATTTATTTTTTAATTGTAGTTTGGATGAAAGTTTACAGAGCTAATCAATTTCCCCAACAATTTATACATTTTTTGTTTTGTGACATTAGTTGCAATCCCCTCAATTTAACAGCATTCTTCCTACTTCCTTCCTGGGTTCCTCATTTCCTTCGTCCTTCCTGCCTGCCCTATCCTACCTTCTAAGTTCTGTTTTTAGGCAAATGCTGCTCTTTTGGTCTCCTAAAGTTGACTGTTCTGAGGAGTATGTTTCTCAGGGGTATTATTTTGGGTATTATTGTTACTCTTCTGGAAAAGATGGTCCAGTCTTTCTTCCACAGAGCTGCTAGTGGGTTCTAAGCATCAAATTTTTTGGTTAGTACCCTAGCACTTAACTGTTGGATCACCAGGGCTCCTTATCCTCATTTTACAGAGCAGAAAATAGTGGCTCAATGAATGGGGCTTATTAATGAATAATAAAGCTCTCTTCAAAGTCACTCTAGCATAGTTGGGCCAAATGGGCGAGTCCAGGGTTCAAATTCCAACTGTGCTGCATACTGAGTTGCTTTAGCAAACCGAGCCTCTGGACTCATTTTATCTTCAGTAAAAAGAGAATGAAACTTACTTTTATTGTAATGGTTTTGGCATATGGTGCTAGCTAACATTGTTTACAAAGCGCGGACACTGCGTGATCTGGGCAAATTCAACTCCTTTAAACATTATGGCAACTCTGGGAGCTAAACTAAGGAAATGTGAGGGACAAAAAAGTGCCTTCAGATCACAGAGCCAGTGATACCTCTTGGTTCCAAACCCAGGACATACTACGGAGCAATTGGTTCTGCTACCCGTCACGCTCTACTACTTCAGGAACTCGTTCAACTCTAGTTGTCACCGTTATTTTTGTTATCAATAAAGCTCAGGTGCCACACAAAGGCAGCTAACTTGCGCCCCTCCACCCTTCAGTCCGCAGACGACGCCCCTTAGTCACCAGGTCCCCCACCCAAGGGCTGAAACGAAAGCGAAAGCACATCTGCATGATTCCCAGCCCCGCCACCAATGACGTTCTCCAGCGGTGCAGGTGCCCCTGCCTCCCACCATTGGCACCTGTGGGCACACCTCACCTGTGGAGCCGGTGGCTCGCGCTGAAGGAGACTACGCGGGACACTTGTGCTTTGCAGCGACGGCTCGACCCGGGAGCGCTCATGGTCTTCCAAGCCTACGGTGGGATGTGCCGGGAGGTGCCGCCTCCGCGGCTGCGCAGTGCGGCCCCGAGCTCCCCCGGAAGTGTTCCGTGGCTTCTTTCTTACTTGGGCCTGTGCTCTGGCCGGTCTCAGCGTCAGGTGATCGGGTCCTCTTGGTGGGAGTTCTTAGAGTCGGTCATATCTGAATGTCCTCGGATAACAAAGAGTTCAGAGAGCTAGACATCCCTTGGAGCAGTCAAAGGGGTAGGAACGTAGTGTCCTTGATATTTATATATGCATAGCCTTAGGCCACTCAGTACAATATTTCCCAGGTACTGAGCTCTGCTGGCGTAATGCCTAAGGCATTTGACTGCTAACCAAAAGACTGGTGGTTCAAACCCACCAGCCACTCCTTGGAAGGAAGGTTGGGCAATCTACCTCTGTAGCGATACCGCCTCAGAAACCCAAGGAGGGGTCGCTATGAATCAGATCCGACTCAAAGGCAGTGCCTTTTGACTACGTCAGAAGTAAATACTCTAGCAGTCAGTGGTTACACAGAAACTTGAAGCATGAAAATATAATAAAAAGTAAAACAGTAGAAGACTTTTCTGAGAAGTTGCTTGTTATTTGATTGTTTAGTAAAATATTCACAAAGTTTTTGCTCTAAATTAGTTCATTGAAACGTTCTATATAAGGGTATCCACCGAATTCATACTCAGTGATCCTAACCAATAAGCAAACATTCCCCTTAACTTCCAGCCCTTTGAGATCAAGTGCCATGTAGATGTAGTCCCCACTTTATTCATACAAGGAGCTCTGAGGGCGCAATGCCTAAGGCATTTGACTGCTAACCAGAAGGTTGATGGTTCAAACCCACCAGCCACTCTGCAGAAGGAAGATGGACAATCTACTTCGGTAAAGATTTAACACCTCAAAAATCCAAAGGGGGTCACTATGAGTTGGCATCGACTCTATGGCAGTGAGTTTGGTTTTCACTAAAGCAGGGGTTTTTTTCCTGCTAAAGTAAGGCTCAGAAGGCTTGCTTTGTAAGAGATAACGTAAGTTATACAAATGGACATATATTGGCAAGCCCCTATATTGATCACCTTTCAGTTCTTATTTGCTCATTAAGTTAAGAAATGTTTACTTAACATCTGTTAAATGGCAGGGACTCTGCTAAGTGCCAGAGACACAAATATGAATAACAAACACATGATCCTCCTCTTTACAGAGTTCAGGTTAATGGAGGAACCAAACATAGAAATAAATATCAAGACAAAAAAAAAAAAAAAAACTAATTCTGCCTCAGAAAGTAAAAGAAAGCTTCTGAGAGAAGATGGTTTCTGAGCTGGCTTTTAAAGGAGTTCAGGTAGATAAGAAGGGATGCGAATACCAGGAAGAGACCGGTGAGCAAAGCAAAGTGGAAAAGTGCAGCTTGTTCAGCGCATAAGTTCAAGTGACAAGTTCTTAGCTGTAATGGGGAGACAGATGAGAGATGAAACTGGAAAGAGACTGAGAATCAAACTATTGAAGGGCCTTGAGTATCGATTTAAGTATAAAGCAGAAAAGGCTACACCCCCTTCTTTCCTTTCTCCTAGTTCCTTACTAAGAAAGGGAATTCTCATCTGATTAGATCACATTTCCAGACACTGACTGGGCATTGTTTACTCACAGGCAGGGTCACAATGTGTTAAAAAGTCCCACACTATTGTGGCTTATTTTCTGGTGCTATGCTTTGAGGAATAAACTTGGCCCAAAGTCCCCACTCCTATCCCTCCCCCAAGTAGGCCTGATCATCTTGTTCACTGTTCTGTTCTACCTCTTGACTCCCCAGACTAAGCTGATCCAGGGGCTGGCCCCTTGGGACAGTCAGGCCATCTCTCTCTCCTTTTTCCCCTTCACTTGGCACCACGTACTTCCTTTTGTGATGTCTGTGGAGACTGGCTGGTGATGAGTTGGGCTTGGGGAGAGGAAGAGGAAAAGATCCTGCCTGGGCGTTGAGCTTTAATTATATGTTCACTCACATTTTACCAAAATACTCTGCACTGGGTTACCAGCATACATGCTGAGATTACAAAATGTATTGATCCATTTTTGTCTTTTCCTTCAGGAAACTTACATATGACAGGGCCAAGGGAGAAATCAAGAATACTTGGGATGAAATCTTATGATTATATTGCTAAACTTCATATGTTTGAACTTCACTTCTGGTGTATTAGGATGGATTAAAGGTTTTTAAGCAGAGAAAAGATATGATTAGATATATGTACCTCCCAGGTATCAGTCAGCATGGTCTTCACCCTTAAGTTCTAGATAAGACAGATCAAACCTGTGTTCATGTCAAGGGAAGTACAATGCCTTTTCAGGGACTTCTTTGAAATATCAGGGGACTTAGGTTCATGGTTACCACAGGCTTTAAGTTCTGTTTGGCATCTTCTTACTATGCCAAAACTGCTGCTGCTGTTCTGCATCTGCCAAGTACAGAGAAGCAACTTAGCCACAATGCAAATCCCAACACATGACATTTGTGTGTGTAGAACACTTCACTGATGATAATAGTGTTTGTGAAGTCTGAAACCAGCATTTGATCCAATAATGCTATGAATCCAATAATCCAATAAAGTTACAAAAGTCCTGCCAAGTCCTGCCACTGTCCTTCCTCCTGCAAGTCTTAGGAGCCTGATGTGCAACACTGGATTATTGGCAGGACTCTGGAGAGCAAGACACATTCAAAGCAGAATGGTTGGCCACCATCTTTCAACAGGGCACAGCTGTTTGTTTCCTACACAGGTCAAAATACCACAGGCAACAGATGTGGTGGCTATTCAACAAATATGTAGCCCTTGTTTATGATGGCAATTACAGAAATATATTAAGCCTGTTCAAAGTCCTGATTTGAAGCAACTCTTAAAGAAATTAGAGAACTGACCATGTTGGACCAGTTTGTAAGCCTAACTGAGGTTAGAGACTGGGAGTTCACAGTTGCCATTTGAGGGGTTGTTGTTGTTTGCTAGGAGCTCTGGTGGTATAGTGCCTAAGGCACTTGACCGCTAACCAGAAGGTTGGCGGTTCAAACCCACCAGCCACTTCTTGGAAGGAAGATTTGGCAATCTACTTCTGTAGAGATACCATCTCGGAAACCCAAGGAGGGTTCGCTATGAGTCGGAATCACTCGAGAGCAGTGAGTGTGTTGTTTGCTGACGAGTTGGCCCCTGACTCATGGTGACTGCACAAGGGAACTAAACACTGCCCAAGCCTGTGCCATCCCCATTGACTGTAATCCATAGAGTATTCAATAGCTGACTTTCAGAAGTACATTGTCAGGCCCTTCATCCTAGTGGATCTTAATCAGGAAACTCCAATGAAACCTGTTTAGAATCATAGCAACATGAAAGCCTTCATTGACCGGTGAGTGGATGGTGGCTACACATAAGGTACATTGGCCAGGAATCTACATGGCAAAGAAGATGTCTACCAGTGAACCACCAATACCTCATGTCTGGGGGTTACTTCAGCAATATTCAACAAGCAGAGGGAGAGTGGACAGTTTAAGTGGTCCAGGATTAGATTTCAGCCAGAAGAAGGGTATACAACTGAAGGAAAACAGAGCAAGGGATTCTGAGGGTGTTGGCAATACTGTGGTTTAAGTGACAGACCCTGAGATCTAGGCCGATTAGGGCTGTTGGTCTTTAAAAAAAAAAAAAAAGTGGGTTTAGAGTATATGGTCTCTAGTGCCATCTGCATCCATTGGTGTTGATTGTAGAACCAAGTAATATGAAATATCTGACAATGGAAGCAGCAGTCAAGAAATCAGACAACATATTGCACAGGCAAATTTGCTGCAAAAGACCTCTTAAAGTGCAGAAGAGCAAAGACATCTTGAAGACTAAGGTGCGCCTAACCCAAGCCATGGTATTTTCAATTGCCTCATAGAACATGAAAGCTGAACAATGAATAAAGAAGACCAAAGAAGAGTTGATGCTTTTGAGATGTGGTATTGGTGAAGAATATTGAAAGTACTACGGACTGCCAGAAGAACTAACAAATCTGTCCTGGAAGAAGTGTAGCCAGAATGCTCCTTGGAAGCAAAAATGTCCAGACTTCATCTCACCTACTTTGGTCATGTTGTCATAGGGGATCATTCCCTGGAGAAGGACGTCATGGTTGGTAAAGTGAAGGGTCAGTGAAAAAGGGGAAGGCCTTCAATGAGATGGATTGACACAGTGGTTACAATGATGGGCTCAGGTGTAGCCAGGATTGTGAGGCTGGTGCAGGACCGGACAGTGTTTCGTTCTGTTGTACATATGATCACTGTGAGTCAGAGCTGACTTGACAGCACCTAACAACAACAACAGTGCCACCTGCTAGGGGAGCCCTGGTGGTGTCGTGGTTAAGCACTCAGTTGGTAACTGAAAGGTGAACAATTCAAACCCACTAGCTACTCCACAGAGAAAGATGTGGCAGTTTGCTTCCATAAAGATTACAGTCTTGGAAACACTATGGGACAGTTCTACTCTGTCCTATAGGGTCACTATGAGTTGGAATTGACTCACTGGTAATGGGATTTTGTTTTGTTTTTAGTGCCATTTGTTGCCCAAGTATATGAAGAACTACGAGCTTTTGATCAATCCCTAAAGATACCTGGAGATCAAAATAAATACTTGATTTTAACGATGTCCCTCAAAACAACCATGTCTCAAGGCCAACCTGGGGGTGGGTGAAGATGATATTGGATGATTAGGAGGGTTATACAAATGCAGTGACATCTGCTGTGGAAAGCAGAGAAACAGCCAGTTTAGAAGGTGCCTCCAAGCATGTTATAGTGGGGTTCCTGTCCTTACGACCAATGGTAAGAGGCAGACTGTGACAGAAAAAAAACAAGGTGCTTTTCAGATCTATATTCAGAATCTACTATCTGTGATCATTTGCATCTTTTTTTCCCAAGTTTGAATTCCTGTGCTACCCATATATATGGTGATAGTAATGATCCAGTTTAGTTTCTCTTATATATTCATTTTTCTTACTCAGAGGAAGATACATCCAGTAAATTTAAAACCTTCTTCAGAAGGTTGTGTCAATACTTGCTTAATGTTTTCAAAGACCCATAAGCAAATATAAAACCTTAAGTATGTCCTGAATTCTGTTTTTAATAGAAATTTAAAACTTACTCAAGTGTCCATAGTTTGGAAGGCAGGGTGCCGTTTTTGCTCTCTCTTTTGTACAGAGACTATTTGCTTCACACCTAGTTCCCGGACCCTGTGGTTGTCCTATCAGATGGACATGAAGGTGCCATGCAACCCATAAGGCATTTGCTCAGGCACTTCTGCTCAACCCAGTTCTTCAAAGTTCCTGGCATCCAAGACTAGGAGAAAATTGCTTTCATTCTATAAAGAAAAATATAATACTGGTAATTCCCTTTGATTTAACTAAAAGTCTGTCTGCCTTCTCCACTAGACTCTAAAATTCCTAAGGGCAGAGACCATGTCTTCTTCATCTTCTTATCTATCCCCAGCACCTAGCACAGTGTTTTGCCCATCCTATCACTCACTAAATGTTTGAAGAATTGCTGAACTGCACTGAAAAGGAAAGGGATCTCTAGTGATGCAGTGGTTAAAGCATCTGGCTGCTAACCAAAGATTAGCAGTTCAAACTCACTAGCTGCTCTGTGGGAGAAAGATGTGGCAATCTGCCCCCATAAAGATTTACAGCTTTAGAAACCCTATGGATAAGCTCAACTCTGTCCTACAGGGTCACTATCAGTCAGAATCAACTAAATTGCACTGGGTTTGTTTTTTAATACTTTAATAGGACCTCATGTTAAATTAACAAATAACATCTTCAAAAGCCCTATTTCCAAACAAGGTCATGTTTACAAGTAGCAGGGATTAGGACTCATAAAAGCAAGGAGTTTTACTGAGAGAATAAAACAATATGTCTCTCCTTGTCTGGAGCAAAGAAGAGCAAAGAAAACCAAAGACACATGGAAACAATTAGTCCAAAGGACTAGTGGATCATGGGAACCTTAGCCTACACGATCTTGAGACCAGAAAAACTAGATGGTGCCTGCCCACTACTGTCAACCACTTGTAAAGGTATCAGAATAGAAGATCCTGAATACAGTGGGAGAAAAATGTAAAACAAAACTCAAAATCATAAACAAACAAACAAAAGACCAGGATTACTGGTCTGATAGAGACTGGTAAAACCACCAAGACCATGGCCCCTAGTCACCCTTCTGGCCTGAAATGGAACAAACTCCTGTGATTAATTTTCAGCCAAATGATAGACAAAAATATGAGCCTGTAAACAATCACCAGGGAAGAACACTTTTTAGAACAATCAACCATGGGAGATCAAACGGGCAGCACTTGCAAAGGGAGAAAGCGGAGGAGGCAGGAATGCAAGGCAAGAAGGACAGAGGGAAAAGGACATGTTTAATGTCACAAAACAAAATGTGTATGGAGTGTTAAATGGAAAATGAATTTGCTCTGTAAACTTCACCCAAATTACAATAAAAAGTTAAATATATATATATATATATATATATATGTAGATGGCCTCATCTTTTGCCCATGGAGCAGCTGGTAGTTTCAATTCACTGACCTTTTGATTAGCAGCTGAATGCTTTAAGCACTATGCCACTAGAACTCCTAAAGGACAGATCAGATCTTTAAAAAATTCAGAAAAGGAAAGATATTGCCATCACCTTCAGTGTTTTATTCACCACCTCAACCTTGATCAGATAAGTCCCCACCAAATGCTGAAAGCCACAACCATAAAAGAAATGATACTTTTTACCACTGTATTGGCCATAGTTGATCTGGGGGAATTCAATGCCTCTTTCCTCATCTAGGTCCTCACAATGTAGATTTTCATGAAAGCACCAGATCTAAAAGAGGTCCTAAAAGAATCTGCAGCGGTTGCTTGATTCTCACTTATTTTCTTCAATGTAAGTCATCAAAAGGGTTAACATCCTATATGCATTTGTAACAGGCCTTGGAAGCTGAGGTTCTATGTCATTTCTTTTATACTGTCCCTCTTTCTATCATTTGTATGAATGCATAAAAGATTATGAGGTCTTGTAAGTAAGCTACCTAATGGTGGAGAAGGTAGAAGTGTGCTTATTATTCTACTACAGCTAAGCTATTATTGATAGCTGTATAATGATATGCTTGTGGTAAGCACAAATTATCTAAAAGGTGTGGCTGGTCAATACCTCAAATGATTAGCCATTTCACAGTCTTTAGAAAGTTCTATACACACACACACACACACACACACACATAATGCAAACCAAAAAAAAACATTGCCATTGAGTCAATTCCAACTCATAGCAACTGCCACTGGGTTTCTGAGGCAGTAAATCTTTATGAAAGCAGATTGCCCAGTCTTCCTCTCACAGAGTGGCTAGTGGGTTTGAACCACCAACCTTCTGGTTAGCAGTCAGTTGCCTTAGGTACTGTGCCACCAGAGTGCCTTCAAAATACAAAGAGATAGGTAAACAAACAGTGCTTACTTCTGCCCAGTATCTGTGATTCTTAAGCAAGCAGCATTCTATGATTTTACCCTGCTTAGCTGGAATGTTAAGAAATGTATTGGCTCGAACACTGCAGAGAACATCCAATGAGTAAAGTAACACCATTAAAGATCAAAGTCTGAGTCTAAGGTCCTTTACATAGCATATTTTTCCATCAGCCTGTCTCACAGCACTAGCTGAAAAACAGAACAATGGGCTGAGGTTCTCTCCCTCTGGGGCATTCAAACTGACATTTAAGGGCAAAACAAATCTTCAAGGGAAAGAGCTGGCTACTGAACTGCAGACCTGCTCAGGAGACAGGAAAAAAAAAAAAAAGAGAGAGAGAGAGATGAGAAAACTGTCACTGACAGGGCAACAGCATGTTTCAATAATTTATATCCAGTCAACATTATTGGCATTCCTAAGTATTATGTAAATAATAATTTTTATTCATTCACTTAACAAATATTTGCTGAGCAACTACTATAAGCCAAGCTCTGTTTTATACAGCAGTAAACAAAGCAGTCTCTAACCTCATGGAACATACATGCTAGTGCAGAAAGAATGGTAACAGATAATAAAAAAGAAAAATATAAGGTATTTCTTCATGTCAAATAAATAAATATGTATACAAATATATGATAGTGATAAATGCCGTGAAGAAACACACCACAGGGCAAGGGACTAGAAAGGTCCCTACTAGGTTTGGTGAAGATTAATTCAGCCAACTTAGTTGCTGAAACTCTGCACATTCTCAAGAAAGGGCTATTTTCGTGACTGCCCCTTGGCCACCTAGACACTGGAACTGACTAGGAACTGGGAATTTAGCTCTTGTAATGTTCAGTCTGATAAGAGTGTTTTTGCATGCCTGAAGCTTTGAGCCATAGTACATAATTTGTCCAGATAATTCACACTACAATGTGGTTTACAATGAACATCTGCTTTCTCTCTAGGGGTCTGGAGCTTCAGCAACTGATGTCAGTTATACAGACACTGTATGGCAACACAGCTGACCCCCAATAAAAATCCTGGATAAACAGATGTGGATTAGCTTCCTTGGAGAAATTTCACATGTTTTCACAACTCACTTCTGAAGGAATTAAGCACATCCTATGTGACTCCCATTTAATCCTCACAATAAACCCATTACTTTTCCTCATTTTGCTTTCTTGGAAGCTTGTGCTTGGTTTCCTCTAGACTCTATTCCACAAACCTTGCTGATTTTTGTTTGTATCTTTTTTCTGTAATAAATTATAGCTCTGAGTATAACTATATGCTGCATCCTGTGAGTCCTCCTAACAAATTGTCACATCTAAGGGTGGTCCCAGGGACCCCAACCCAGATTCTGCAGAGATGATGTTTAAGCAGGAATTTAAGTTAAAGTAGAAAATAAGCACACTTTATCTCACTATAAGAATGTTGGCTACTATTACTGAACATTTTGATTAAAGATTCTATAGAAAAGTCCTGATCCAAAAAGAGAAAATGCGTAACAGAATTTTTAATTCTCGTGCAGTCCAGGCTTTCTGGAGTCATGGATGCTGGATATTGCCCTGAGAGAATCTTTAAACCTTAAACCAACAATATCCCCTGAAGTCTTCTTAAAACCAAACAACAGTTTAGCTTAAGTATTCTTAAGTATTCTTTCATTTTATTTTGTTGTTGTTGTTAAGAATATACACAGCAAAACATACTTGAATTCAACAGTTTTTATCTGTACAATTCAGTGACATTGGTTACATTCTTCAGGTTGTACAACCATTTTCACCCTCCTTTTCTGACTTGTTCCTCCCCCATTAACATACTCTCCCTGCCCTCTAATGTTTCAATTTTGTATTGCTACTGTCACTTTGATACCATATAGATAGTTCCTAAGAACTTAATGCTGAAGGTAGACAGTAAAAAATATTGCAAGATGGAGAACAAACCACACCATTTACTCCCAGGTTTTTTTCTGTTTAAGAGACTTGACATTTAGAAAATGAATTCTTCTATGACCAAGTTTTCATATCCTTTTCTCATTCAGTTTTCTGCCAATATAATTTGGGTAAATGGATCTCTGCACTCAATGATCTCTGAAACATCCGCGTTTTAGAAGTATTTTTCCTGTAACCATGATAGAAATGGCTAACCTTCACTAATCATTACATATTCCAGCCAATGTGCAAAGTTCATTAGCTCATTTAATACTCAGAGTAAGCCCATTACTTTCCTCATTTTACAGATGAAGCAACTGAGGCTTAGAAGAATCAGGTAGCCTGCTCAAGAATGCAGCTAACAACTGAGGAATCTGCAGTTTAAATCTATGTAGCCCAAGTCCAGAGGACATAATCCAACACTGCAGTACACTGCTGCCCAACAGAAAGAAAAAAAGAAATTCAATAATGGTTAAAGGCACTCTCTCTTCTACTAAAAAACAGCTCTGAATTTCATCCATATACTTATACAAATGCTTAAGAAATTTCAAGATTCCATTTTGAAAACAAAAAATATTGCTTTATAATTCACAAACAGATCAGCTGTAGCTTACATCTAGGTGGCTCTCTATCATAATCAAACATGAATGATGCTACTAATTGTTCACCACAGAATGCCATACATGTCTATCATAGATATTTTCCATAATCTACAGGTTGTTGTTGTGTTGTTGTTAGGTGCCGTCAAGTCATTTCCGACTCACAGTGACCCTATGCACAGCAGAACGGAACACTGCCCGATCTCACGCCAGCTCCATGATCCCTGCTATACTTGAGCCCATCATTGCAGCCACTGTGTCAATCCATCTCGTTGAAGGCCTCCCCCCTCTTTCGTCGACACTCCATCCTACCAAGCATGACATCCTTCTCCAAGGAATGGTCCCTTCTGATAACATGACCAAAGTCTGGCCATTCTCACTTCTGAGGAGCATTTTGGGTGCACTTCCTCCAGGACAGATCTGTTAGGTACTACTTTTAAAATAGCTTACTTGTGAAAGACATTTACCTTCATTTTATTGACTATGCAAAGGCACTAAACTGTGTTGGTCATAACAAACTAAGAATAACATTGCAAAGAACAGGAATTCCAGAACACTTAACTATGCTCACAAAGAACCTGTACATAGACCAAGAGGCAGTAGTTCAAACAGAACAAGGGGATACTGCATGGTTTAGAATGTAAGGAAGATGTGCATCAGGGTTGTATCCTTTCACCATACTTATTCTATCTGTATGCTGAACAAATAATCCAAGAAGCTGGACTATAAGAAGAACATGGCATCAGGATTGGAGGAAGACTCATTAACAACCTGCAATATGCAGATGACACAACTCTGCTTGCTGAAAGTGAAGAAGACTTGAAGCACTTACTGATGACAATCAAAGTCTACAGCCTTCTATATGGATTATACCTCAACATAAAGAAAGCAAAAATCTTCACAACTGGACCAATAAGCAACATCATCATAAATGGAAAAAAGATTGAAATTGTCAAGGATTTCATTTTACCTCGATCCACAATCAATGCATATGGAAGCAACAGTCAAGAAATCAAACTATATATTGCTTTGGGCAAATCTGCTACAAAAGACCTCTTTCAACGGTTAAAGAGCAAAGATGTCACTTTGAAGAGTAAGGGGCTCCTGATCCAAACCATGGTATTTCCAATAGCCTCATATATAGGTAAAAGCTGGACAATGAATAAGGGAGACTGCAGAAGAATTGATGCATTTGAACTGACAAAGAATACTGAATGTACCATGGACTGCTGGAAGAACAATCAAATCTGTGTAGAAGTACAGTGGTAATACTCCTTAGAAGCGAGAATGGCCAGACATCATCTTTTGTACTATGGTCATGTTGTCAGAAGGGACCAATCCCTCTGCTTAGTAAAGTAGAGGATCAGCAAAAAAGGGGAAGTTTTTCAAGGAGATAGACTGACACAGTGGCTGTGATGATGGGCTCAAGCATGGCAATAATTGGATGGCACAGGTCCATCCGTTGTGCATCATTCTATTGTACATAGGGAAGCTATGAGTTGGAACCAACTCAATGGCACTTAACAGAAACAGTTATCTAGTGCTGCTATAACAGAAATACCACAACTGGGTGGCTTTAACAAACAGAAATTTATTTTCTCACTGTTTAGGATGCTAAAAGTCCAAAGTCAGGGTGACAGCTCTAGGAGAAGGCTTTCTTTCTCTGTCAGCTCTATAAGAATGTCTTGTCTCTTCTGAGCTACTGCTCCTAGGTGATCTTCATGTGACGTGGGATGTGTCTTCCCCATCTCTCTGCTCACTTGTTTAATCTCTTTTTAAATCTCAAAAGAGATTGCTTCAAGGTACATCCTACACTAATACTTTTTCATTAATATAACATAGACAACCCATTTCCAAAAGGAATTATAACCACAGGTATAGTGATTAGGATTTACATCACACATTCTGAGGGGACATAATTCAATCTATAACATAAAGGTAATAGTCCATAAAGAAATAGTCTAGCTTTTGCAGAGACTGATTTATGCTTTAAATGATCTCAATCTTTGTAACCGGATTAAGATGATAAGGGATTAATAATGTATCCTACCCATCTTCCAGAAGCAAATGAATATATCTGGAGAAAAATAACATCATCTTGGGTCTCAAATTACTTCTATAATTTTTCAAATACGATGTTCTGCATAAAATAAATAACCAGCACATGAGTAGACAAAATGACTGATCAAAAATCAAGATAAACCACAGGGAATCCAGATAATAGCATTAAACACCAGAAACTAAACTTACTGCCGTCAAGTCATTTCTGAATCATAGCGACCCCTCCTTGAGTTTCTGAGGTGATATCTCTACAGAAATAGATTGTACAATCTTCCTTCCGAGGAGTGGCTGGTGTGTTTGAACCACCAGCCTTCTGGTTAGCAGTCAAATGCCTTAAGCATTACGCCACCAGAGCTTCATTACAGACTTTAATTTAACTATTCTGAATATGTTGAGAATTAAAGTCTGATAACTTAAATTAAAATCTGATAACTATTATCTCTATCATCTGTTGCAAATGTTTTAAAATTTACAATAGCAAAGAACTAGAAATTGTAAGTGAGAACCAAATGAAAATTCTAGGACTGAAAAAGGCAGTGAATTCAAGAACTTAGGGGTTAGGTTTAATAGCAGAGTAGACATAGCTGAAAAAAGAATTTGTAAACTATATGAAAGATAAGCCACCACTTGTCTGTCAGTTTATAATTACTGTGATGGCCTGTATGTTGCTGCGATGCTGGAAGCTATTTCAGATATCAGCAGGGTTACTCATGGTGGACAGATTTCAGCA